ATGAGACTGAAAAGCACAAACCTTTAACAACTACAAAGGATTCTCACTGGAGAAAAACATAAAACCAATTAGAGGTAAATAAAGAGAAAGTCTGAGCGATCTTTTATAGAAATCCAGTGAATTTGTTTCGTTTAGCTGAGAGATGAAGGCGTGTTTGAAGTTTCCAAGACAGAAATCCGTCTGAGTAATTCTCCTGTCTGTGAGTTTGGTGTCATTATTTTTCCTTTTCCACCTGTGATGAAAACGGCAAAATGATCTGAAAATAACCCGACGTGTTCATTTGCGACCGACCGTTTAATCAAACGAGGGATCAGAACACCAGTCTGGGCAGCGCCATAATGGCAGCTCACTCACACACACACACACACACACACACACACACACACACACACGCGCGCACACACACTTGCGTAATGGATAATCTGGAGAGAAGAGACGAGCGTCCACCATCAATCAAAACCAGCTGCAGAAATCTGAACGTTCATTTTACTGGCAGGCAGCACCTGGATCAGCCTACAGTGAGAATCTAAAAGCCAGAAAACGAGAATTTGATACAAAAATCTGTTTTTAAAAACACTTCACATCCATTTGTGTCTTATTTTTTGACTAATTTTTAACTTTTTTGGCAGCTTGATTGCTTATGTGCATGCTAAGTGGACCAGAGACCGCTCCAAAAGTAGGAAGTGGACTACAGCACAGGGCATTCTGGGTAAATACAACCAAAACAGACGTGCTGGTCCAGTGTCAGTGGGAGAAATGTCTCATGGCCTTTTGCTAAAGACAAAAAAAGAGGGTTGTAAAGGTTGCTGACCCCTGGTATAGAAGGCCTCAGAAAAACTTCTGCCGGGCTGAATTTGGCCCCCGGACCGTGAGTTTGGAAACAAAACACTTAACCCATGGTATTAAATATGATAATTTTGTATTTTTATCTTAATCACAGATCCAGCTTCTCCAAAGTGTGAGGGAGTTGTTCAAAACGCGTGGCGTCATAAATAAGAAGATTTTGGCAGACCACAGCTGCTTTCACGTTATTTTATGCCTCATCTGGGAGACGCCGGCTGATGGATGGCGGCTCAGGCCTCAGCCGGGTGCCAAGGTCTCTGGCGTCTCAGATGAGTCTGGCTGTCCTGATCGGAGGATCCGCATCGGTCGTGGATCATCGCTGCGCTGACATGGAGGAGAGGAGATGGCCACAACGTCTAGATTACATCTGCTCTTAAAGACTCCAACACCAATTTAATTTCGACATCATTTTAGATGTTCTACAATGTCATTAAATATTGTTCTTATGTTTCTTTCTTGTGTTTTATTTTGTTCGTGTATGAGAGCTGATGATGTTGCCGTTAACAAAATCCTTTAATATCCCTAGTTAGTAGCTAATATCCGACGTTTGGGGCATTTTCTCCCTCATTTATTGACTCACAGAATTTAATGCTTACAGCTCATTAAGGCAGTAGCGTGAGATGCGAGTTAGAATAACTTAGTTTGTTACGCAGTGATAAACACTGACAACAACATGCTAGCTAATGCTCAACATGCTAGCTAATGCTCAACATGCTAGCTAATGCTAACTTGTTCGTTCAGCAGTGTAAATACTAACTAACCTCTGTGGGTGAGACGGTCCAGTCCAGCTGCTCTCAATGATCAGACCAAAGCAGAAGATGACAGATAAATAAAGGTCTAGGTTTGTTTATCTGCCATGTGTTCAGAGATTAGTTTTTATTATCTGAATGTAAATAAACAAACAAAAAAAAAAGCTGCGCTGTGTGTTTTGGCAGAAAAGCGTCTGGAAATAATCTGTGCCCCAGTTAATGTACTGATAAACTGGGATTACAAGTTTTAACCAGTTTCTAACTTAAAAACACACACAGGATTGATCAAGATTAGTGCTGCAAACAATGAATTCCTATTAATTATTTATTCGATTGAAATTATCTCCAATATATGTCCGTTTGGCTCATCTTTCAGTGTTATAGTTTGGCCGCCATCCAGCAGAGGGCGCCGCTGGTCATCTTGATGGACAGAGTTGTTGGAAACAAAGATGGCGGCCATGACAGAACGGGGAAGGAGAAACGGTCCTGTATTAATGAGGTGAAAAACGCACTTCATGTGATTCTGTTTGAAATATAAACACTCGTCAGCCTTCACCTTAATAACGCTATTTTATTATCAGTTAATCATTAGAAATTAAACGTAATTTGATCGATAAATCCCTGGTTACAATATTGTCATTTTATGCCGTTCAGGTCAGGATAGTCTGATTAATCAACAGAACCACTTTGGTGACGTTTTTCCGCCTGATTTTTGTTACTTTCTTTAGTTTTCTCTTTTTCTCTATCCATTTTTCCAGATCCTTTTGCAATCGATGCACCAGAATCAGCCTGACCGCAAAAACGTGACTGTAATGACATGGTTGTGTTGTCAGGCTAACAAAAACCCTTAATAAAAATAAAACAGTCACTGAAATGTTTTATCTGACCTCTGGACGGCGTGAAATGCCAGGCGTAATTGCAGGATCAATACGTTGAAAACAAAGAGTGAATTTGCAGAAACAGAATCTGTGGGAGTCAAAGGAGCATTTTTATCAATAATAATCCAAAGCGACAGCAGCAATTTGCATGTCATCTCTCCAGGTTTGATGTCTTATCGACTTGTTTCTGCGCATTCAACAGTTTGGCAAGTGTTGCATTTCCTCCTTCAACTCTCATCTGAAGCAGCAACATCATTATCTGTATTCTTGTTAAAGTCACAGGATGAAAACAAACAGTTATCACGGGTTTTCCTTCAAAATAGGCACATTAATTATATCAATTAGCATTAAAATAGCAGGATTGAGATACTTTAACAAGTTCTGCATCAAATCTGCTCCTTTGGGGAAAAAAATCCAGCATTCAGCTCATTTACTGAGAGTTTCAATACATTTTTATATTGTTTTTGGACTTTTTATGACAATCTGAACAATGAAGTAAAACAATGTCTGCATATTTTATCTGCTTGATCCCTGAATTACAAAACAACTAAACGACTCATTTGCGATTAATCGATTAACAGATTACCCAAATAATCTGTAAATCGATTACCACACAGTGAAATGCAGCAAACCACTGAAAATTGCAGAAGCTCTTATAGGGCTGAAAGGATTAATCAGATTAATCATGATTAATCGATTATGGAAACAATCATCAACTAATTTAGTTAGCGATTAATCATTAACTGGAGTACACATTAAAAAAAAGCTACTTGCTGAAAAAGAAAACATTCAGAGCAGTAATTAAGCAAAAACTGTCCAATATGTATATACATTTTGCAATTAAGATAAAAAAAAAACATTTGTCTGTAAATATGTTTTAGCCAAAACTCCTTAAGAGGCAGTTTTAGCTTCACCTGGTTCAGATTTAATATCAACAATAAAATGTTTATTTTATTTATAAATGTTAATATTTTTTAATTTGTATATTTTAATATATTTCTAATATTGCATAAAAGAGGCTTGGGTGATTAAATAAAATCTGTATTGTTATTTTTTATCTGATTAATCGATTAATCATCAGAATAATTGCTACATTAATTTTAGTTCTACAACAGATTAGTGCTTTATTGTTGATGTGAATTTGGATATTTGCCACCAAAAGCCCCGTAACTAATCTAAAAATATTATTCCTACAGCTTCCTTTCAACTCTAGATTAAAAACACGTAACATCTGTATTATTCTTTTGCTCAGACATCAACACAAAGCACATAATGAACCGTCTCTGACGTGTCAGATGCTTTGTGAGCTGGAGATGCAGCGCCTATCTGTGCCAAATGAGCTCAACTGTTGCCCAAAAGCCATTAAAAACCCATCAGCGAGCCGCAGTGCTGGATGTTAGTGGCACAAAAATGCGCCGCAGCGTCTCAGTGTCTCCATTTAAGGCTGAGAAGAGCCGCAGCGTCCAGCTCAGGTAAAATTAAAAGGCTCATCAGAGGTTCGATTTGTCCTTTTTCATCACGTCCAGAGCTGTTAAAACACAAAGTAAAACTGCTGAGATTGGAGATTTCTAGTGGAGAAACCAGCGTGGGAAAAATTTAGACACAAATTAGGACATTTCTCTGTCTTTTCAAGCTTAAACAGATTTGCTGGTTTCACTAAATCAAAATGTTCTTTAACTACAGTAACCTCAGATTATCAGATGTGTTTGAATTATCCTAAATTTTATTAGTAAAAAATACTCAGTTTAGTGCTGCAACTAACAATTATTTTAGTGATTAATTATTCTGATGATTTATCAATTAATCAGATAAAAAACATTGTAGATTTTTCTTTCAACCACTTAAGTCTTTTTATACAATATTCAAAATATATTAAAGATGCAAATACACAAATAATTCAATTCACTTTTTAAATTATACAATAAAGATTTTATTGCCTAAAATTCAACAACAGGTGAAGCTAAAACTTCCACTTAAGTAAATTTGGATAAAACATATTTAGAGACAAAGTTTTTTATATCTTAAATGCAAAAAAATATGAATATTGTACTTAATTACTGCTCTGCATGTTGTTTTCTGAGTCTGAATTAATCATGATTAATCAATTAGTTGGCGATTATTTAAATTATCACGATTAATCTGTAAAATAGAATTTAAATAAATAATTCCAGAACAATTCAACGAGCCAGAAGCATTTTAATAAATCAATTTAATCAAAAAAAAAAAAAAATTTTATTTCACAACTTAAATTGAAAAAGTTGAATTTCACATTGTTTAGTTACATCAAGGACATTTAAAGCTTTTATTACGGGAATTTTCATGATCAGTTACAGCAAATGAAAACCCAAAAATTCAGTTCATCAGATAATCTGACTATTTTCAGGCTGATTTTCAGGAGATGCTGATTTTACTTTCAAGGCTGCTGTTATTCCCATTGGTGGTTTTTTCCTCCACCAAATTTTCCACTAATATATTTGGGAACATCAGCTTCTTTAGCAATGAGCGTTTTGCAACTTAGTTTTTTATTTTGTTTTGTTTTTTTAACAAAAGTGCAAGCTCAGTGAAAAGTTGTACGCTTTTCTGTAAAGCTGGATCAGAACCAGGAAATGGATTCATTCAGATGACCCGTTACAAGGAAGTGGCCAAACATCCAAAAGCTCAACGAAATGCTAATATTTGGATTAATTTAGCCAAATACTAACATTTCTACCAGGAAGTGAGTCGGGCATCTCTAAATAAATAACCAAACACAGAAAAAATGTGCAAAATGTTTCCCTTTGCAGTTGTTATTCACATTTTATTAAAATCTGTCACATTGAAAATTATTTACAACCTTCTCAATAATCATTGAAAATATATTTATTGGCTTTGCAGTGATCAAGCCGTCCGTCTGATGGCTTAGCAGCTTTTTGCAGGTTGAAACTGGGATTTTAATGGTTCATCTTTGAGGTTGGAAGGCCTCTTTACCATCACCATAATCCTAATCCACAATCTGCCACCACAGATTAAAGTGAAGATTTGATTCTTTAACCTTCATCAAATCCAGACTTAAAGAGTCAAAGTAGTGTTGAATTGATGTAAACGTATTACATTATATCTGGATTCTTCATTATTTACTCATTAGTTTACTTCATATTTAAAAAAGTTTTATATATCTTTTTATCCCCCAAATCTTGTTTTTTTTTTCTTCTAATTTTTCCTGATACAGGAAAAAAATGAAAACTATGACTAAGTATTACAGTAATTATACATAGACAATGATTTTCTGCCAAAAGCCCTTGGAAATTTTGAGATCAATTTCATGTTTGTAAGAGAAAAATAACTAGCAAGTAGAAAATAAAATGAAAAAAATAAAATAAAAAATAGTTAAAATCAACGGATTCTGATGATTTGTACCCTTTGGAAAAAAAAATTATTTTCTTGTAAATATGTTAAATAAATCTGAAAATGTCTGAGCAGTTTGGTTAAAATTTACTGTTTTGAGAACAATTTACTGTATTTTTGTGTAACTCCAAGATTCCAAGGTGCTTCGTGAGAAATGTAGTGATAATTTCCTGTAACTGTCCTGGAGAATAGAGGGATGGCGCTTTGTTTATGACGGTAAATGAGACTTTGTTTTTGTTAATTTGACATCAATTAAAGCTGAGGTAGCAGAGCACTAGAACAAAGAAATACTGCCCCCTACAGGTGGGAGTTTGTATCACTTTAACCCGATGATTTTGACAATTTCTCTGTAAAATTTGCAATAAATCACAATCACAAAAATTCAGAGAATTTGTTGATTTTGCGAGAATCTCTGCGGAAAACCTCAACATGTACGATGGCCATAATAGTTTGTCGTAGGAAAAAATTAATTGTCTTTCTCCATCTAACTTTCAAAAATATTTTCTATACAAGTTTCTTCCAGGTCAGAGTCGATTGCGAGTCCTTCTCAGGTCCAGACAGTTTAATAAATCCCCTCATATAAAGTGAATTTCCAAGTAACAGAAAACAAAAACATCCATGAAACCCAAATAAATAAACATAAATTAACCCGGAAAAAAATAAACTACATTCATTGAAGAACCTGGTTCATTAAGAATGTCAGCCTGAGTCATTCATTTATTAAACATTTCCATTATTTACCCACAGAAGTGATAAATCACCACTAAATATACAGTTCAGACATTAAATGGCACTAATGAGTGATTTCCACCTCGTATAATAACCCAAAATTAGAAAATATACAGTCATTAATTGATAACTGAGTCATAACAAAGTGTTCTGGTGAGTCTGATCCGAGTTCAGATATGAAACCTTTTCCTTAGGAAAAATAAAGGAGGCCAAAACCTGGACCTTGCAGGACTCCGGGCTTCATTTGGGCGGCGAAGGCCATATGGGCAGAGGGTGAGCCTCGGTGTTGAAGACGTACTTGTCTAGGCTGAGCAGCTCGTCGTCGTCGGAGAACAGCAGGTAGAGATACTTCAGCGTCTCGCCCAGGAAGAAGCTCTCCATCTTGTCCCGGGGGCCGGGGTTAGAGGGGTCACGGACGTTGTTGATGGACGTGTAGCCGCCGCCAGGGACCTGCGGTTGGAGAAGACGTGTGCTCAGGTGGTTAACGCTTCCATTGGGAAGCTGAAAAATCAATTTTGATACATGTTGAGCTTTCCCCAAGCTGCCTGAAGTCGAACATGAAATATAATTACATTTTTACCAGCTGAGGAAATGTCAGAGAGGTCAGGAAACAGAGCCGCTTTGGTCAAAAATCCTTCAAAATCACTTCAAACTCATTCCTTGAAAGGTGAACCATCAGGCTTCCTTCAACAGGTTAGCTGCTTTCATTCTTAGATGATCAGATTTTAGCCGTTTTAGGGCGTCTTTTCACTTTAAATCCAAATAAGCTGCTGCTGCTGGGCGGAATTCTGCTGGGGTTGCTTGGTAACGGGCAGAGTTCTGCTGGGGTTGCTAAGTAACGGGCCACTGCCTGATTATTTGTGACGTTACGTTTCGGAGGTTTTGAAGCGGCTCGTTTTCCAGACATCAAAAACCTTGAACTTAATGGCTAAAACCATCTGAGTGCTGCAGTTATTTCAGCAGTGGGGCTGTTTTTAGAAGCCGTTCAGACCCAAACTGAAGTGCAATAACATGAAAATGTGAATTTTGCATTATAGTTCCCCTTTAAGTTCTGGCTCTACAATAGTTTACAAATCTCTTTTTGACAAAAAAAAAAAAGAAAAAAGACTGTTACGTTATCAAGTAATGCATAGCAGCACAAGTTTTTATTAGAAATATACCGTTTTGGCCTTCAAGTCCGTTTGACTTGATGATTTTGGCCGATGTGACAAAACGTTTGGACTTCCCTGGTTTAGCATAATCATCATCAGTGAATCTGAACAACAGGAATAAATGAGCGTCCGGCTGGTCGGTACCTTGGTGTAGGCGTTGAAGCTCTGCAGGATGTCCCAGCCCCAGTCTCTGTACTTGGCCTCCTTGGTGAACCGGTACATGTAGAACAGGCTCTCCACCGTCTCGGGGCGCAGCAGATTGTGTCTGTCGGCAGGCTGCAGGACAGCAATCAATGCTTTTAGTCTGACCTTTAAAAAGCTGACAGGAAGCATGAAAACTGGACACAACTTTATTAAAGCTGCTTATGGAGACAGAAGCATCGACGAGGACTGAATGAAAAGCAGCAGCAGGTCATTCTTATTGTCCAGTGTTTATCTTTAACGTAGCATTTTAGAGTGAACTTCGGCAGCTCTTTAAAACTTCTGGGTGACATGAGTCAGCGTTCGCCCCAGGCTGAGTGGGTGGGTCCAGATGAAGGAGCAGAGATGGAACAAAGTGGCAGAGCTGCAGCTGATCGATGCGGCTATAAAGCATTTTTAAACCGTCTCTGTGCATCAACGTCTCGTCTCTGCTTGGTTTGCCTGACGGACTGCTGGGCTCTCTGATGGTAACGTTTAAAACGTAAAATAACAACATAGCAGGAGAAGAGGAGCTGTTTCAGTTTCAGCAGCCAAATAAACTCCAGGCATCTTTTATTGGTGTTTATGATTTGACCAGGATTCACAGACGTTTTACAGGAAACAGTCAAAACTTTCAGTGAAACCTGCAAAAAATCTGAGACAGTTGGATAAACAGATGATGGATGAAGGATGGATGGATGGATGAAGGATGGATGGATGGATGTTTTGTTTGTTGGTTGCACAACCAACTGTTGTTGAATGGATGGCTGGATCAATAGGTGGATAAACAGCCGGATGGATGGATGGATGGATGGATTAATGGATGGATGGATGGTTGGTTGGTTGGTTGGTTGGTTGGTTGGTTGGTTGGTTGGATGGTTGGTTGGATGCCTCTTTGTGTCCTCTAGAGTCGGTAATCCAACATCGTTCAGGTCGTTTCTGGACTGAAAGCTTCTGCTGATGAAGAGTCCAGTCAGACTCATGTTTATGGTCATCATGGTGTTTAAAAGCTGCTCTCTCTCTCTAAATCATCCTAAAGGCCTCTGTGATCACTCCGTTGTGTCTTTGGGTCTGAATGAGCTCAGAGAGCGTTTCCTAATTATCTCGGAGTTAATGGAGAAATATTCAGCGCTGCGAGAAACTCAGAGCCGCTAATGAAAAACCAAACGAGGCCTGAGGAGAGCGGGGCGGCCGCGCTCAAACAAACGCAGAGCGGCTGATTAAAAATCAGATTCATCAGACCTGCTGGAGCCTCTCAGCCGCGTTCGCACCGATTACACTGCAAAAACAATTTACAGACAGTTTCTGCTGCAAATATCCAAGACAAAACTAACCTTCAGGTCACTATTCAGCAAGAAATAGCAGCTTGTTCTTTGTCAAAAAGTCTTATTAAATAGTTATAAGTAAAATAATTTACCACAGAATTAAACATTTTTATATACATGAAAACTGATAAAAACACTTGGTAAGATTTAGTGTTTTTGCAGTGTTCCTCTTTCAGATCGCTGTAAAAATCCATTACTGTGTATAAAAACATGCTAGCAGTGAATCCTGCACATGGACATGAGAATGAAAGCGTGTGAAACTCGGCCTGACCTTCACAGAAACATCCTGGCCTTCGCTGCCCTGCATGTTGAAGTGAGCGATCTCTGGGCTGAGCCCCGTCTCCATCTGCCTGTACATCTGGTGGCAGGTCTCCATCAGCTGCTGGGCCAGGTCCATGTGGTCCGGCGGCAGGCCGCTGTGCACCCCCAGAGCCAGAGTCCCTGGCAGGAAGCACACCAGGTGGTCCTGCAGGGCGGCGACAAAGAGAGAGACGCTCACTGAACGGCTGCAGGAAATAAATCTGTTTAATGTCAGAGGCTGCGTTCACACTGCAGCCTGAAGTGACCCAAATCGGATTTATTTGCCTTAATCTGGATCTTTTCATGACACTCTGAACAACACAGGTTGATTTTATTCAAATGTGGCCCAGGCTGCTCTAGAAGGACAGTAAGGGGCGGGACGGACCCCACGGCAGACCAATACCTGACTTAGCCATCAGGTAAAAGCTACATTAGCTAAGCTAGCTCAGCAGTAAGTACTACATTAGATACCGCTGATATTTATCTTAGTATTACACTGAGGTAGGTAAAGAACTAAAGTAGTTTTAATGTGTTTATATTGTTTAATAGCTGGGTAGGAACAAGTCTAGAGCTAGCTCTAAGCTTGTGGTTTGTTTATCGTAGTCATAGCAACTGCCTACCAAGATGGCCGTCAGTTACAAAGCTAGTGGAAATGTGGCGTCACATGAGAGCGACACCGACTGCCATGACCCTCCATTGGTACCATTTTGGGGTTGAAGCGGTTGTGGGAGAGTTCTCCGATGAAGGTGAGCCTGCCGGGTCCGGTCTGCCTCACCAGGTGCTTCTTCACTCCTTCCACCGCCTGCAGGTAATCCTCCAGCAGCCTGCAGGCAGAATCAGGAGGGTCAAAGGTCGTTTAGGTTGGAGCTGAACATGTTTAATGAGGAACTCTGAAAACTCGCAGGTACTTGAAGATTTTATCTACCAGTGGGGTTTAATGTTTTAAATACAGATTTAATAATAATTGCGAGTTTTGGCAGGTATTTTTTTCATGAAAAAACGTTGAATTTTCACAACAAAATGACAAAAACATATAAATAATGTCCTTACAGCTAATTTTCTTGTCATTAGCTTTGAGAAATATTGGACTGAAGAAAATGTATTCATCCCTATTCTCAAGTTTTATGTTTTTCTTCATTTTAAAACTTTTCCCTTTTATCTAGTCTTCCTTTTTTCATCCTCTTTCCTCCTTCCTTCTTCCCCTTTCCTCGTCTCCTTTCCTCACTTTCTTCCTTTTCTCTTTCACTGGTTCATATGAAATAAATAATAATAATAATAATAGATTCAGTGCTGCTTATTGAGTAAAAATAACATCACTGCCTGTTAGAATCAAACATTTTCTCTCCATTTCTTTTGAACTATTTGTTGGGAAGCTAAAATAAAACATTGTAAATAAAGCCATGATGTTGCATCATTACTGTTCAAGTGGGAACATTTTGGTTTAGGAGGTAAAAATGAGGCTTTACTCGTCCTCGGTCTTCCCGCCCTGGATCCACTGCTTCAGCAGGTATTCGTAGTAGCTGTCGGCCCGCGCGCCCAGCGTGAAAACGCCTTTATGGGAGAACTGGCCGCTGTTGGTGTTGATGAACATGGGAACCAAGCCGTCATGTTTCCCTGGCAGCTTGTGGACGAGCCGCATCACCTCGTTCACGGCGTCCTGCAGGAAAACAGGAAGGAACGAAATTAATGGCTGAAAGAGTTAGCATCATTAGCATCTGAGCTAATCAGAAGGAAAACATCAGATTAACTTTAAGAACCTGATTCTATCACATTCTGGTTTAAATCTATACACCCCAACAGAAAAATCACAACTTTTCTCATGTTTCTGTGACCTGCATCTGCAGGTAAAAATACTCCCAACATCAACTTGAAAATTAATTTTTAAGACAATTAAATCTGAGTTTAGAAGTATTTTTTAGCTGCAGATGCATCTTTTGCTACAAATGATCAAGAGGAATTTTGTTACTGCATTTAATGGAATAAAATGTTTATTATCTTATTAGGAAAGGAACTGAATTGTTTATTTGCATATTTTTCTGTATCTCTCATGTTGTTTAAAAAGGCTTAAATAAAAAAATCTGCACAAAATGCCAATTTTTACAATGTGATTAATCGATTAATCATCAGAATAATTGATTAATCGATAACTAAAACGATCATTAGTTGCCACCCTGATGTGTCTGGATTGATTTTGTTGGCGGAGCTGCAACAGCGGCTCCCTGTGGTACCGGTTTGTGGTCCAGACCTGGTACTGGGGGTCCTGGGTCAGGTGGCTCAGCTCCCTGAACTCCAGCTGAATGCTGGTGACCTCGGCGACCGTGCTGTCTGACGTCCACCGCGGCGGGTGCGCCGTCCCCTTCCCGATGTTGACGTCTGAAAACGGGATCTTTGAAGGCGTCTTGAAGGCCGGCATCAGTCGGGACCCCAGGTCTTTCTTTAAGGGACAGAAATAATCCAATTAGAGACTGAAGATGTTTTCCTTGACGTTGAAATAAAGTTTTTCCTCACAGCTTTGTCTAAGAAGAGCTGGTCTCCTGTCAGGTGGTAGCAGCTCAGCAGTCCGCCCAGAATCCGAATGGTCGTCTCAAAAAGATTCACCTCCACGTTCTTGTCAAAGGAAAGCTCTTTCTCCACCCAGCTTCTAGCTTCAGCAAATTCTGCATCAAGAGACTCGCTGCATGTTACCGTTTACGTCCGGAAATTTAACACAGTAGAACAACTCCGTTTAAAAAATGAAACCTGGAGATGTAGCTATTACTAATTTAGTGCACTGCGCCACAGCGAAGCAAAAAACAATGGAGAAAAACCGCTGAGGAACTAAACCACTCATGTTCTTTTTTGCTCCCTGTGTCGGCTACGCTTCACGCAGACTCGTTGCCATAGCAACTGACAACAACGCCACTTTATGTTTCAGGATTCAACACCAACATTTCCCACACAGAGAACAGAACATTCAGTCCTTTACAGTTTCATGTTTTCAGGCTGGATGTTTATTTTCTGATTATTAATAATTGATCGCTGTGGTAGATTAGCTACTGCTGCTATTAGCTAAGCTAGCACAGCAGTAGTAGATTAGCTAATTCAAACTTCTGCTCTACTGATGCTTAAATCTGGCACAGTTGGTGTTTATATCGCTTTTTCTTATTTTGTAACTGAACCGAAACACAATAAATTCCACATCACATCTATATGCTAAGGTTGTCATAGTCAAGCTAGCATAGCTGACCTACTTCTCTCTCCCTCGCTATTGTTTTCTTAATTAAAACTTTTTCCAACCTTGTTACCTAGTTTTTGTAGTGTAGCAAAGCACTGCATCCCTTTTTCTTTTATGCACCAGGCGTACATTTAAGATTTAGTGCGTTATGTTGGCAACTTGACAGCTAAAGCTAGTCATTACCGGCTAGCAGCCTTTTGCCGTCCAGCGGGGAGAAAAGGGGGACGGGATCTTGTGGGTGTGACCTGACCATAGAGATTAATTACATGCTCAAAAGTGTAAATATTAAGTATGTAAATGTTGACCAATAAGTTTAAGACCTTCTGTGTGGAACAAGTGGAATAAATCACCTTCTTTTAGGCCCATAATCCACATGGTGTCCAGAGAGTCGATGAGCGTCAGGCCCAAGCCGAACCATTCGCTGAATGACTTGGAGATGGGTTTGAGCTCGTCGTGACCCCAGGCGTATTCCCGATAGGCTTTCCAAGCGTGCCTGAAGGCGTCACGGACGGCCTCTAGACGCTCCGCCGCTCCGGGGGAAACTGGGTTTAAAAACGAAGACGATTCATCCACAGCTCCTCTTGAAGTGATATCACTGCTGAGCTAAAGAAAATCTTCAAAAGTTTTGAAAACCCACAAATAATGCTACAAAATATATAAACAAAAAAGGGCAGGGCAGAAACATGGAGAGAGTTTTAAAAACCATCCAATCGATAAAATAATCAATTAATCACCACAAGAAACGATTAATCGTCAGAATGCAACTTCATTAGTCAATTAATGGTCAAAATAATCAATTGTCAGAATTATTGATTAATCGTCAGGACAACTGATTAATCATGAGAGTTATATCATAGATCAATCATCAGACTAATCAATTAATCATCAGGATGATCAATTAATAGTCAGGATTATCGACTAGTCATCATTCTAATTAATTGTCTGTTTAATTGTTTAGTGGTCAGAATGATCAATTAATTGTGGGAATAATAAATTCATCATCAGACTAATCAACTAATTGTCAAAATGATCGATTAATCGTCAGAATTATTGATTAATCATGAGATAATCGATCAGACAAATCAATTAATCGCCAGTCTGTTCGCTTAGTGGTCAAAATAATCAATTAACAGAACGATTGATTAATCATGAGAATAATCGACTGATCATCAAACTAATTAATCTTCAGGATAATTGTTTAGTGGTCACAATGACTAATCGTCATAACGATCATGAGAATAATCAATCAATCAATAATCAGACCAATCGATTAATCTTCATTATAATGATTTATAAAATAATTGGAAGTTGCAGCCATGAATAAATCCAATAATAACAGATTCAGCTGTGACCATTTAAAACATAAATATTCACTCTGCTCTTGTTTTTGAACATTCAGGCGGATCTAAAAACTCTCTGCTCTCTTTCCTTTTGGGAAACATCTGAACTCATCACTTCCTGTTCATTACAATCAGGTGAAAATGAAGGCGGACCTTGCTGATGGACGGAGGCTGCAGGTTCGGCCGGCGCCTGAGGCTCCACAGCTTCTTTCTGATTGGACGGCGGTTCTGTGGCCGGCTCGGCTCCTCTCCTGCTGCACGGCGACAAAAACATCATCTAAACACGCCTTTAAACTTTTCCTTTCCTAAAAACATCCACATTACCTGATAACCTTCTCCTCATCCTCCTCCTCCTCGCCAGCTTCTTCCCGAACCACTTCCTGGTTCTGCTTTGCGTCGCTCACCGTGTCCGAAGCATTTCCTTCTTTTCGGGAGTTTGGTGGAGCTCTTTTGTTGGGAAATGGCTTCCTCTGTCGGTAAAAACACAGAAACAGATTAAAAAACAAACACAAAACTCACTTCAATAAAATCCCTCATTTATTCAGAGCTTTTTGCTGCAGGAATATTTCTGCAGCCCGTTTTATTCTCAGATTATGTTGATGTCGGGCTCGTCTTCAGCTTTGAACAATCCCATCATGACTCACAGTCCTGCATATCCTACACATTTCCACAGTAACCAGCAGCTATTTAAATCCTGCATCCTGAGTCATATTAACAGGTCCATGGAGCTGCTGCTGTTACTGTAAATAAAAGGCATCGTTTAATTTTGATTTTAAAAACGTACGGCCGCTGTTTTAATCTGTTTGTTGGCTCTGTGTGTTTGTCCAACAACGACAGATTGTTTTAAATCTTTAATGCAAAATGTTTAGATTGTTTGGACAGTTTTGGTTTAATTAATTATCTGAATGTTATTTTAGTTAATTCCCTTCTTTTGAGTATAATAAATGGATTACTAAATTAGTTCAAAATTATTTTAATAACTGGTTTATCACAACTGTGAATAAAACATTAATTTTCTTATTTTAAAAGGGATTGAATTATTTGTTTTCATCTATTAATGTTGTTCTATTTGGTATAAAAATGGATTACGTGGTTAAATGATTGAGACAATTTTCTTTATGCAAGAAACTGAAAAAATAATCAATTAATCACGAAAATAACCGATTAATCAGAATGAACAATTGTTGAACAAATATTCTATTAATTGTCAGAATAATCAATTAATTACCAAAATATTCATCAGAATTATTGATTATTAGTCAGAGTGCCACCTGATTAGTCTGATCAATTGTCAAACTAATCACTTACTCATCAGGATAATCTATTAATGGTCAGAATAATTGATTAATCATGAAAATAACCAATTAATCATTAGAATGATGAATTAATTGTCATAGTGATCAATTAGCTGTGAGAATAATCAATTAATTGTTATATTACCTGATTAGTCTGATCAATCATCAGACTAATCAAATAATCAGAATAATTGATTAATAGTCAGTATAACTGATTAACTGTAAGATCAGTAATTACATCATCAATATAATTGATTAATCATCAATATAATTGATTAATCTCCATAATAGTTGATTTCTAAGATAATTGGAAGTTGATAAAATTTTCTGTCATGGCCGTTTAAAAACAACAACATGAACATTCACTCAGCTCCAGTTTTAGAAATAAACATCCACCTTGGTGGGCGGCCTAGCCAAAGCAGGGATGTTCGGTCCTCTGGGCTCCATCGGGTCAGCTGGCTCCGCATGGGGCCCGGCTGCCGGACCTCTGCTTTCAGCCGGCTTCAGAACCGGGGGAACCAGGCCTCTGTCTCTCAGCTCCAGCCAGTCCTCCGTATCGGACCGCCCTGCAGAATTTACCCAGTTAGCTGAAATTCATCACCATCAAAAACACCAAACGTTCCACTAAACTCTCACTAAGACGAGCTTCACCTCTCCGCTGCTCCGCGACGCTGGAGAAGGAGAGCAGCGCGAACACGAGCATTAGAGCCAGCAGGAAGAGGATGAGGCTCCGCTGCAGCCGAGAAAGCTGCTTCCATTTCTGAGAAAGCAAAAACAGACAAATTACATGAAACTCGACTTACAGCAGTAACTCCAACATCACCTTTGTTTCAACTAAAAACAATGAAAAAGTACAGCCTCTCCTCAGCTAATGCTTTATTTCTCAGACTTTTTCAGGCTGAGGATCTCTCACCCACCCAGATTAAAACTGACCCCCCAATAACAACATCCTGATATACAGACTGAAATTAAACTGCTCACCGTCTTTGTTCCTTCTAATGTGAAAGGTGGCGCTGTTTTTTTAAATGTGACTGATAACAATAAACCATAAGCAAGTCTATTCTGAGTTATTTACAGTTTCTGAAATTATGTTTTCTACGCTTTCGCACATAGAGATAAAACAAACTATGTTTTAGGGCTATTTGTAATTTCTAAAATAAAATTACAAATTTTGAGTTGCAAAATCAAACATTTTCTTCCAACCAGCAGACTGCCCAACATCAGTAGTTTTATTTTGGGTGTTAAGATGCAGTTAGTCGGCGCGGGGCGCAGCGCTGCTCACCGCCTCGTCGTCACATCCAGCCGCAGACAGAGAGCTGCACTCATGCATCACAATAATGCTGAAAAACTAAAGTTCTGCAACCCAGAAACCCTCCACCGGTATCTTCAGGCTTCCTTTTTAGTCTGAAGTGGAGAGGACGACAGAGCAGGGCATTATGGGTAAATACAACCAAAACAAACATGCTAGCCTAGCGCTAGCAGGAGAAATGGCTCATTTCTCAAAATAGAAATCTTACAGCCATTTTTGTTTCTATTTTGTGAAGGAAGAGGTTCTCATGTTGTTTCCTTCAGTGGTTTGTGGTGCAGCGCCCCCACAGGCGAGGAGGGGAACAGCTTTTTAAATTAGTTTGGTTTGACTCGGCGCAGAGTGAAAGAAAATCTCAGCAGCTGAAAATGTAAACAAATGTTGCAGTTTTGTTCACAAATAGAACAAAATCTGCTGGACTATCAGGTGTAAAAACAGCCTGAGGAAACTCACAAATAAAGAGTCTGAGATAACAAACAGGCCAGTCAGGTAGGGAGCTGCTGGACCAGTTCGACATGGAGGAAACTGAAACCCACCAGCAGGGAGGGGCGCTTCAGAGGATGAAACGCTCCACTACAGAGAAACAGGAATAATTCACATGGACAATCTTTCCCTGCACAAAACCTCAAATATCCCAGTGAGCCTGATGGGACAAATTATGAAATGCTAGTTTACTTCTGCCGTTCACACTGGCCCTCATTTGACTTTCAAATCATTTCGTTTCTTCTTCCATTTTGATTGTTTATGTTTTGCATATTTTCCACAGGAAATAAATAAAATATGGAGATAAATTTGGATTTTTCCCGTCCTCACCCTCCAGCAGGACTGTCTCCGGTGTTTGCCGTTGTTGTAGGTGTGACTGTGGGGGTCGCTCAGGGTCAGCGCGATGAAGTCCTTCCTGGGAGGGGGGTACATCCTGGATGATGGGGTCAAAGGTCATAGAACCTGGCGACGAGAACCCAAAAGTTAAAACCAGAGCAAACCTGTCAGGTAGGACATGGCTCCCAATATCATCACTGAGTTTGGAAACTTCAAACAAAACCAAATTAGGTTTTCTACCAACATTTGGACTCTTTCACTTCCACAATTTTTTCCCCTCAGGATTTATTTTTTTATCTCTCACAATCTTGACATATTTTTCCTCATCATTTTGACTTTTCTTCCAAAGAAGTTTGACATTTCTAAAAATGTTGACTTTTTTCTTCAATATTTAGATTTTTATTTTATAGAATTTTGACTAATTTTTCTCATATTTTAGATTATTTTTCTAAGAATATAAATTAATCTCTCTCAGAATTTTGACTTATTTTTCCCATAATTTTGGTTTTTCTTCCACAGAATGGTGGCATATTTTTTCCCAAAATTTTTCTTTTCCTCCAAAATGTAGATTTCACTTTCCTAGAATTTTGACTAGTTTTTATTTTTATTTATTTATTTTTTACATAATTTAGACTTTTTTTCTCTCTCCAAATTTTGACATATTTTACCGTAATTTGGATTTTTCTTCCACATAATATTGGCATATTTTCCCTCATTATTTTGACTTGTTTTTCATCAGAATTTAGATTTTTCTTCACCAGGATTTTTACCATTTTTTCTCATGATTTGGATTCATTCAACAAAAACAAAACAAAGAAAGGAAAAACAATAAAGTCAATCTGATTTGGTTCTTCTTTAGTGGCTCTAATCTTGTTTCGCACATTTTTAGCTGAACTGAGGTTATAAATCGCTCGTAATGTCAAGATTGCAAACCTCTTTCTACACTAAGCATTGAAACTTAAACACTATATTACAAATTGTATTAAAATACAGCTGTAACACACTGCTCAATGACCTAAATCTGGCTACGGCTAACTTCTGAGCTACTCTGATGTATAATTGTATCAGAATAGAACCATTTTACCATCAGATGACAGATTAAAGCTTCGGTTTTCTTCCCCCTCTCACCGTTGAGGCAGCTCGGCTCCCTGACAGCGACTTTCCGCTGCTGAAACCCAAACAGCTGTTAGCTTCCAGAGGCTAGCCCGCCTCTTCCAGTGGCTTCCGCATGAAAAATAAAACCTTTCCAGGTCCAGAACCGCAGCCCAGTAGAAAAAAACAAACCTGAACGACTTTCACACCCAACAAAAAGCTGCTACATGAGACGACAAGCAGGTTAAACCAGGGGAAAATGATGTTAAAGTTACAGAATGAACCACCAGGTAGATGCGGAAAGGAACAAACCGGTGACGTAAGTCACGTGACGTGCGTAACGTCAGGACGTTAACCGTTTCAGTACCGCGTTTCTACATAAACCCCAAATATGTCAATATTAGCTTTAAATATGGTTTTTATTCTGATTTTATTATACAGTTAAAACAATTGGATTGTTTTTTTTAATCTATCCCAATCCTTGATATTTTCAAAGGCTAAAAAAGGACGATAACTTAAAGGGAAATTTTATTTTATTTTTTAAAAAGTATGGCACAGATTATTCCCATTTTATTACCTCTACATAACTTAACCTTTTATTTGTAGAGCTAAAACTTTTTTTCCTCGCAGCTCTATCAATCAAAATATTAAAATACAAGATTTGGATTTATAGCGCATATGCTTTTCAAACATTAATTTCTATTAATTTAGGTTATTACAGCTAAAAACTAGCAATAAACTAAACATTTCTCAGAAGATTAGAATAGTGCAAAAAAAAAAAAGGAAAAGAAAACTCACTAAAAAGGTCAATGTTTCTAGTCTTATTCTCAGAAATGTTTGAGTTCAACAACTAGAAAATTTACAAGAAAATAAGTCTGAAATTTTGAGATTAATCTCAGAAAAAAACCTGGACATTTTGGAAGTTGAAAAGTGAAAAATTTCCAAGAAAAAAATTTGACATTAACCTCAAACTTTCTAGAAATCCAAATGTTTTGCAATTTTCTAGCAAATTTTTAACTTTTCAAACAGAAAATTCTGAGTTTAGAAATGTTATTGTTTTATTTTTTTAAAGAAATGTTTCTAAGTTCAGAAAAGAGTGAGTTTAATTTGAAATGTTCAACTTTTGAAGCACAGGAATTTATTTTTCCCAGAAAATTTATGTTTTCTTTTTGTTTTCAGATTTTTAGCAGAAAATATGAATATTTTTTATAATCGTTCTAACGTGTTGTCATAGGAATCCACCATGTTTAAAGTTTCAGTATCAAAACAAAAGCATATAATTTACTTTTACTACAATATTCCCTAAATTTAATTACACATTGCTTCTTAATGGTGCTAGTACTAATTTCCATTCCTTAGATGTCCAGTGCATCTAAAAACCTTCATACCCAAAATTAGAAATAACTTTTAGTTGTAGAACAAATTAATCAGCCTAAATATTTTTCTGTGTCTCAAGTTCAAATATTTATTAAGTTTAGATTTAGAGATTTGACAACAAAACTGTAAAAAAAAAAAAAGACAAACATGCTGGGGAAACAGCAGATGAAGTGCCTGTGTGTGTCATACCTGAGATGTAAAAGAAAAAACTATATTTATATATACATCAAAATACAGAAACAAAATGTAAAAACAAGCTTTGCATCTTTTAAAACGAGGACTGATCGTAAACAGCTAGCACCAAGTATGCATGAGATGACATCAGCATCTGAATCAGCTTTAAATAAATGATCAGCACCTTTAAGGTGATAAACTGGCACCAGTGGGTCAGAACCGGCCTGGAAGCAAAACCGTCTGACTTTTATATACACAGTAAGGAACGCAAACAGCACAAAAAACAAACACATTTAATTTACTTTATACCAGATAAATGTCTCTGTAAACAAAAATGATTTCTCTGTTAAAGCAACAGAGTCGCTGAAACCGAGGGATTCAATCCCCTAGTAAGAGAGAAGGAAGTTAGTGAAATCTTCAGAAACTGGAGAAAGAAGCTCTTTCTGTGTCCGTGATTTAAAACCCTGCTGGATTTCTGCGTGGTGTGGAGGAACGGAGGGTTTCTAGCTGAAACACACGGGTCCGATGGTGAGGCTGAACTGGTGCGTGAAGTTCCCGCTGTTCATCAGCGCCACGTCTCTGAGAGGAAGCAGCTGCAGGTCCTCAAACTCCAACACCGACTCTCCAGAACCGGAAACCGCCTCCTCCACTGGCTGAAAAAAAACATCATCTATTAATACAGACCCGTTGCAGTGCACAACGGATGCTGCAGGGCAAAAAGCTGCTGCTGGTCGATGACTAGCATTGGTTTTAGCTGTCAAGTTATCAACATAAGGTGCTAAATCTTAAATGTTTCCCTGATATATGAAAGAAAAGGGACACAGTGTTTTGCCACTAATTGTCAACACTACAAAAACTAGGGGACAAGGTCAGGAAAAAATTTTGATTAACGAGGATAATAGGAAGTAGCAAGGAAGAAGGAAGTAGTTCAGTTATGCTAGCTTGACTATGACAAACTTAACATGTAGATGTGCTGTGGAACCCTGTATGTTTCAGTTCAGTTAAATTACATAAGGCAAAGTAAACAGCAACTCTGATAAATTGTCAGTAGAGCAGGTGCTTAAATTAGCTAATCTACCACCACTGTGTTAGCTTAGCTAATAGCAGCAGTAGCTAATCTACCACAGCGATCACTTATTCATAATCACAAAATAAACATAAAATCTAAAACCATAAAACTGTAACGGACTGAAAGTTCTGCTCTTTGTGTGAGAAATGTTTGCTTTTTGGTGTTGAATCCTGAAACATGTGGCGGCGTTGTCAGTCAGTTGCTATGGCAACGAGTCTGCATGTAGCGTAGCCGACACAGAGAGCGAGAAAAAAGTGGTTTTGAGTTTTTCCTCAAACGTTTTTCTGCAGCCAAACCAAAACACAAAAGGAAAACAAACAAAAACAAACATGAATAAACTAAAACACACAAAACACAAGAATTAAAAACCTAAACAAACAGGAATGAACCCATATGGCAACACCCCAATAACAACACAGAGTATGAACTGAATATGGCAACACCTTATGAACAAATATTACACCAGAAATGATTATGAAACAAACAAAAGAAAACACAACCACAACATTTTACCCTCTGAATGGTTTAACCTTTTCACTTTCACCCGAATAAAAACATGCAATAGGTCAGGTTTTTGAGTGTTCACTAAAAATATTTTTTATCTTATCTTCTTGAATGTCCTAATAGTTTAAGAGCTTAAAAACGTATTTTTCCTGTCTCCACATACCACACAGTCGTTCAGCTCTCCGAGGTAGCTTTGCATCCTGGTGTCGGTGAGGAATTTCACCTCCGTGTCGGTCGGACCCAGACGGCTTCCTGGATGACAGGAGTAGGTCACCCTCTGAGACGCAGAGACGCTGTGCAGCCGCAGGAAACGCATCTGCACCACACTCTCACCTGGATAAGAAAACTAACAAACATCTTCAATGTTAATATCTACCAGGTCTGCAACTAACAGTTATTTTAGAAATTGATTAATCTACCATTAATTGATTTTGCTGACAATTAATCTATTTTGCTGACGATTAAATGGGCGAAAATATGCCACATTCTACAGATTTTCATCTAACCACTTAAGTCTTTTTATACAATATTAGAAATAAAAACAAAGAAAACCGCAAGAAGAACATTTTATTGCCTAAAATGAAATAACTTGGCGTTCCTTTAGTACATCTGAAGCTAAAACTGCCACTTGAAGAGATTCGGCGAAAACATATTTACAGACAAAGATATTTTCAGCTTAATTTCAAAATGTATATATTTTTTGTAAAGTTTTTTCCTAATTACGCTTTTTTTCAGCAAGTAGCAGAACAGTTATTTAGCTATGTGTTCAGCAGCTATGTAGCTAACAATCCAGCTAGCTTTCTTTTAAGCTTTAGGTAAATGCATAATTAGCTTTCTACCTAGATATATTTAGTTGTAACTTGATAGCTAAATAGCTAGCTAGCTTGATAGCGAAACACATAGATAAATAGCTGTTCTGCCACTTAAGGAGTTTTGGATAAAATATTTACACAAAGGTTTTTTTTAGCTTAATTGCAAAATGTTTATATTTGTATTTGCTTCAATACTGCTCTGAATATGTTTTTTTTCCCATAAAATTGCCTTTTTTTGAATGCATACTTCAGTTAACGATTAACCAATTACTAAATTAGTTGACGATTATTTTAATAATCGATTAATTGCAATTAATCATGATTAATCCGATTAATCGCTTCAGTCTTAATAATAACAGCTAAAAATCTTAATTTTGATCCAGAAAGAAAAAGTTCTGTCATTGGTTATCAGCTTGTACTGATTTATTTATTGATATGGATGCAGTTGCTTCACATCATTTATCTCATCTCTCCGTAGTTGAAAATGATTTTTTTTAATCAAAAGCCATTAAGAACTGGGTTCCAGTTTTTGCTCCAGTGAGATCTGGGTCGTCCTGCCAGTGTTCATGAATGAATATCTGCTAAATTAAGAGGTAAACCAATAAAAAAGACTAATGAACATCAGTTTATATCAGTCACCTGGTGACCCTGATCCAGCCTGCTGAGCCACTGAAACGATCCGTCTCCAGCTGATTCCTCCATCCAAGCTTTCATCGGCAGCTGCAGAAAAAAAATGACGCTTTTAATAAAAAATATTTAGTTGTTTTTCATTCAAAGAGATGGAGAGTGAGATTCTGCCTCAAATCGTCTCTTTCATGGTCTCAGTGGTGGCACTAAGAGCATGTTCCTGCTGCGAGACGTTGAACCGAGGGGCTTAACGAGGCTCCTTCAGGTCAGCGGAGACGTCGTGTAATTTCCTGCAGCCGTCCTGAGTGCAGGTTTCATACCTGGGAGTGTTCGGGGTGAAGGCAGGTCTGCTTTGATGAGGAGGTGAAGCTGCAGTAGGCCAGCAGAGCGTCGGCGGAGCTGCCCTGGTTGGGGTCGATGTAATACATGCCTGCAGAGGAGCGAGAGGGCGGCAGCAGCTCAGAGAGATCGGCACGGATCAACACAGCGAACTCTGTACTGACAATAACTCTGGAGAAACCAGGAGCAACAACAGCTCACATATCATGAAAGAGGAGAGAAGCTGGAAAAACTACATTTCAAGATGCAGATATATTTATTCAACTGTCTTTACTGATAGCCAAATATAAATAGCTATAGGTATTCTATGTAATTACATCACTAAATACATAGATATTTAGATATATATGTACTTGAATAGCTAAATAAATACATAACTATTTATCTATACAGATAGCTAATAGCTGCATGTTTATCTATTTTGCATACTTACATGGCTAAACAGATG